CTTTAAAGACTGCAGCTTACTTCAATAGTAGTTAAATGGTAAATGGACTTGAACTTGTATAGAGCATTTAGTCTTCTGACTCCTCAAAGCGCTTTTACACCGCAGGTCACACCAACCCAATCACACCCATGCACACTAATGGTGGAGGCTGCTTTGTAAAGTGTCCATCAAAAGTAACTAATTCCATTAATGCACATTCATACGCCGCCAACTTGGGGTAAAGTGTCTTGCCCAAGGAAGGACATATCGGACATGTGGCTGTGGGAGCTGGGGATTGAACCCCCAATCTTCCAGTTACGAGGCGACCAACTCCCCTAACTGAGCCACAGCCGGTCCTGCTTTATGTGTTTCTAACTATTAGTTATTTAAAGACGTCTTCTAAAAATGTCCCAAAATACAAAATCTTGCCCACCCCAGACGTCTCAACAAAAAGAAATCAAGCTCGACAATAAATCAATTATAAAATGGTTTGATGATTATTATCATCTCTAATCAGGTCTCTTGCAGATTGGCATAATTCACTGATTGATATAGCAAGATAGGAAACATTTGATAGTTTCATTTCAAATTTCTAATATGTTGTTTTGTACCCTCCGACTAGGATTCATGTTAACTTTGTGTTTAATTATAAACTCTTTAATAATGCACCTTTAGCAGAGCTTTTTCCTGCTCTGCATTCAAATGATTTTTTAAGCAGAAACATGAGGCTCCGAACCATGCACCTCTGCTAAATCACATGTGAAAGGTTAAATTGGGATTCTTCAGTTGAGCACTGGCCACGCTCCTCACTCCTGCACACTGATGCCCCTCGTAGCGATGAGATTGACCTCTACCGTAGTAATGTTGTCTGTGTTGTCACATCAGTACAACTGTTTGAAAACTATAAACGTGCCTCACTGGAGGATGTTCGTCCAGGAGTGTGATGTCGGTGGGTGGGATTGAACATTGATATATTTGGCTCCAGTGACGCTGGATATGTGTTGATTAGTGAAATATATCAGAGGTCAGGGTTGGGGAAAAAGACACTGCAAGTAAATGAGACACCTGATGGTGGTGTTAGATTGTGTTAAAATCGCACTGAATTTATTCATGACTTTTGGACTGACAGGAAAGTTTAACCGCAGAGATAAAGTAAGTCAAAAGTCTGTTTTAACTCCATAACGCTGATAAATATTTAATGCAGCTTTTTGCATGCTCTCACACACGCCTGGCTGTTGGAGTGAATCAGAACAGAGTGACAGGAGGTAAGAGATATATCCTAATCACGCTCCTCTCTGCAGGAAAAAGACGTTAGTAGCAGGTAGTTAGTAGCAAGACGAGTCAAAGCAGAAGATATCCTAGATTCTTTGAAATATAACGTTTTCTCTGCAGTGTATCCCGTGTGTCTCCTTCTCTCATTGCGTCTTTATTTGAGAGTGAAAATATTTACACATGTGCTGCATTGCAAATGAATCCATCTTTCTTTACTTGTGATCTTATAAAGTTCTGCACATGTTTGTTTTGGATCAGGTTTTAGCTCTTGAATTTCAAACTTGAAAAGAAAAATGACGGCAACAGTTCCCCCTCGGAATAACTGCAGAAAAATGTTTTTAAATACGTTTAAAATACTTCTCTTGAACTCTGTCTCATGAGTTTCAAACACCCCCCCCCGCACTCTTCACACGTCAAATGTCAAACGTACTTGTAGTTTGCTCCCTCATGCAGAACAGACCTGACAGAACAGACAGTTTTCAATGGAATCAAAGTGTTTCAATGGTGAAGAAAAGAAATGAAACACTAAAGTGAAACAGCTCCTGCAGGATAATCCCACTCTCAACGGACCTTGTGTATGTTCAGTCATTTCCCCCCCCACAATGTGGATAAATTCACTCGTGTCGGTCTTAATTCCCCATGCATGAATCCATCGAGTCAATGAACAGGTGTAGGTGACAGTCTGCACATGTTCCAGCTTCTGTTTTTCCGCTTTCCAGTGTTGCAGAGGGCTGCTCTATCCTCAGCTCTCCCTCTACAAATTAAAATAAAGCAGTTATTCAGCAGGAATAGTCACATATGAGCTGCTGATAAGAGGTTAAACAGAGTTCAACTTTAATTTTCCAAAGGGACAGGAGTCACTGAATAATAAATGCAAACTGGAGCACCAATGAATAAAAAAAAAGTAGTAATTATAAAGATTCAGGAGGAATACGTGTTCAAGGCTTTGTTCTGCCTGCAGGTTTAACTTTGAGTTGGACACTTTGGAAAAGTTTACAAAACCTCTGTGAATTGAACGTTTGTAATGAAGAGAGGCATCATTGCAGTTTGAAGGTGTTTTTTTTTTAAGTTTAAAATATTGTTTTCTTGTTTGTTTTTGGTCTGAAAAGGGGAAAGTTTTTCGGTGCAGTACTATTTGTGACCACTGATACGATTGGCAGCAAGACAGAATGGTTTGTGGCTTCTTCTCAATGATTTCATGTTTGTGATAGGCGCTCACAGGCGCCATAACCTAAGACCTGATCGATGCACTGCTGTTTTATGTTTACTCCATGTTTGATGATCCACTGTGGTCACGTTCCTCTCAGATTTGTTTGACGGTTTATTAAAGACTGTCACACTTTACCTTAAAGTGCTTAGGCTGACTTTCGCATAAACCCCAAACAAACCATTTCCAAAATAAACAGGCCTTTATTGTGAAATCAAATCAGAGGGGGATAAAACAAATTCATCAAATAAAGAACTGAGGTGAAACAAATGACCATTGCTGCTTTGGTTAAAGACTGTTCCCTTGGTATCCTCCACAGTGTCCCACTCACAAACCTGCCTTAAGTGGTTAGAAGACAATAAAATCACTCTAAAAGTGCAGAGCATTTACAATGTCGCAGATAAACCTGGACAGAAACCCCATCAAAATGGTAAATCCTTCCCAAATGGATAGCTGATTGTGGTCGAGTTTTCTGTCTCTGCAGGTGAAGATTACCCCGAGGCCCCCCCAAGGTCCAGTTTAGAGTCACAGACTTCTCTATTGGCAGAGTAACCTTTCACGTGGCTGTTATTCACTTGATTTGGAGAATGCATTAAGACCAGTACTTTCCGCCTCTTACACTCTCACTATGGGCTCTTTGCTGATATCAACCAGAGCCCACTCAAACGTGATTGGTGTCTGAGACTCAGGCAAAAAAATGGAAGCTACTAAATTATAGAAATCATTCTCTGAAAGACTTGTATTTAAAGGTTGCATATTGTATTGAAAATGTTCTGTTAGAAAAAGATTTGCAAAGGCGTTTTCATGGAATGGTTTGTGTTTGACTTCGTTTAAACAAGACATGCAACATCATTGTCAACGTCACCTGTTGCCAAAAGCATCTCCAGAAAGTCAGACTATCGAGGACTTGTCGAGACTTTCTTGTCTGGGCCTGCCCAACTGGGGTGATGACTTACGCGGGGTTGTATTAAATATGTGTGCGTACTTACGTGTGCGTATGTGTGCGACCCTTTCTTTGCTCTAATCATATCTACTTTAACTTGTAACAGATAAGTATCATTTTCATTTTATAAAATTTTATAAATTAAAAATAAGAGATTCTAAGAACACATCACACTTTCAGGCACATTCACATTCATTAACATTCTGCTGGGGTACAGATACAGATTATACAATCATTGTTTCGCAGTGTTAAGTGTAGTTACAGCTCTCGGGTAGAAACTGTTTTTCAGTCTGTTTGTCCGGGTTTTGATTGTCCTGAAACGCCTGCCTGAGGGCAGCAGTTCAAAAAAAGAATGTTCGGGGGGGAGATGGGTCTTTCTTACTAAATCATCAGACGTTAAGAAAACATGATCTTGAAGTGCTGGCTTCTCACAGTGCAGCAGACAGTATGTCCTGAATGGTCTGTATGTGATTTGACCAGAGAAGACATTAGGCGGTTTGAAGGCACCCCCATGATGCCGTTTTGTATAAACCAACAGGTGTTGCAGCGATGAAAGCGGGCAAGCCACCTTGTACAGATAGAACTGATTCTTCCCGATCTAAAAAGCCTCTTCATTTTTCTAATAAAGTCTGCGACCAGAAACATTGTAAAACTAGGATAAATATTGGAGATGCTTTTGAAAAATGGAGAGAGGTTAGAACGCAGAAAGGTTTCAAGGTTCCTGCATGCGCATCGGCTGTAGGGAGAAGGGGGCAGCGGGGAGACAGCTCTTTTCAATGTTTTGAATTTGGACTGCAGTACCAATTTTAAACTCTAGGTGTCAGAGTTACAATATTGCTCCTTTGAAGAGTAACACAGCAGAGTGTCAACATTTAAAACTTCATGAACTTAATTCTTTAAGGACTCAAATAAAGAGTTTGTCCGAAGTCACAACTTAAAGAACTATCAAGTGCCACTTTGAAATGCAAAGGAGCTAGCGACCCGTTTCAACTCAGCACTAATAGATGATTTTAACACAAGACCTGCTTCTGACAGAGAAAATAGCCAATCATAGTGTGGGTTGGCCAATCAGATTTCAAGGGTGGCCCTGGATCCACTCCTACAGAAAAAGGGTTGAAAGAAAACCCCAGATAAAATAAAGCAACTTGTTTCTCCTGTCAACAGTTGAAAAACGTCACAAAGGAGAAAGTTTCAAATAGCTGAATTGATTTGACTTGTACAAAGTGTCAGAGCACAACGTTTCCCGTCCATGACTTCGAGTGACCACCTTTGGGTTGACCCGTCAGAACACCAGAGGCCAAAAAGAAATCTAAAAGAACATTTATCTCGGTGTCGGACCTTGACTGTGTGTCCTTAGTTGTGTATTGGCGAGGTGTGGTGTTGTTTGAAGGCAGGTCCTGTGTGTTGTTTTGCCAAGGAGAGACCAAAGACAAAATTCCCTGTCCTCATAGAGCCACAATAACAGTTTCTTTTTCAGCTTTATTCTCCTCTGTTGTCAAACTGATGCTACTTTTTGTCCAGTCTCTCTTGAATTGGTTGTAAAGCAGATTTAAGCGTCCATTTGTCTTCATCTTTTCTCTTCATGTCCTCAATTGTCAGGCCGACCATGTCCACCGAAGCGAGATCATGACTGTACTCAACGAGTCGGAGACCTCCCCTTCCTCCCTCCCCTTCTCCTCCCTCCAGCACAATCTCTCCCTCCTCGTCACCCATGACCCTTCTTACTCCCCCATATCCTTCCCGACCTCCTCTTCCTCCCTGACCTCCTCTAACTGCACCAGCCCGTCCTCCTCTTCCTCTCCCACCTATAACTTCTACGCCGTGCTCCTGGTGCTCCTCATCTTCTGCGTGGTGTTCGGGAATGTGCTGGTGTGCGTGGCCGTGTCACGGGAGCGCGCCCTGCAGACCACCACCAACTACCTCATCGTGTCGCTGGCCGTGTCCGACCTGCTGCTGGCCACGCTGGTCATGCCCTGGGGCGTCTACCTTGAGGTGTGTGTGTGTGTGTGTCAGCATTTTTCTGCATTCATTCTTTGCTTCACGGTCAGTACACGTCGTTTTTTCTGTATTGTAAGCACAAAAAAACAAACAACTCAGCTTCATACATAACTCAAAATGGTGTGCCTTTTTTTTCCGGAAATTTCTGAAGCATTTATCAAAAAACCCATGACAAATAACCGCAAGCACATCATGTTTTAAAGCGGCAGTCACAGATGACAGATATGAATTATGAAGGCAAGGCAAGTTTATTTATATAGCACATTTCAGCAGCTCAAAGTGTGTCAAACAAGACATCAGAAGCATCAAGACAAAGGAACACAGAAACATTCAAAAAAGAGCATTCAAAAAATCACAAAAGTAAATATTGTCTTTATTTGATGGTTTATTTGATAGGGACAGAAATCCAATGCAAATATCATCATGTTTATAGTGACGCTAATTTGAAACACTCGTCCCTAGAAGATTTAAACAGTTAAAAGGAAAAATGGTAAAAGTTACAGTGCAGAGTTCAAGTTTGAAATCTTTAACATCTTGAAATAAATGTATTAAAACGGTTTAATGACAGGCAGCTGTGATCAGGTGAGTCTTCCACCTGGATTTAAAAGAGCTGAGAGTTTCAGCAGACCTTCAGTTTTCTGAGTTTGTTCCAGATATACGGAGCGTAGAAACTGAACGCTGCTTCTTCGTGTTTGGTTCTGACTCTGCTCGGGGACAGAGAGCAGACCTGATCCAGACCACCTGAACTGTCTGGGTGGTTCATAGTTAGTCAGAGAGGTCACTAATGTATTATGGCCCTAAACTTACTGTTCTAATCTTTCTGTCATTTTTAACAAATGTACAGTGTCTTCTGGTTCATGAAAAGCGCTTTATAAATCATATGTATTTTATTACTAACCATTCAGCGCTTTATAAACCAGCAGCAGTATTATAAAAGCTATTCTCTGACAGACAGGGAGCCAGAGTAAAAACCTCTGAACTGGACTGATGTGATCCACTTTTCTTGGTCTTGGCGAGGACTCTAGCAGCAGCGTTCTGGATCAGCAGCAGTTTTCTGACTGATGTTTTAGACAGACCTGTAAAGACACTGTTACAGTATGTGTACAGCTATTTTGCCCTGGATGTTAAACCTATATATGTAATGGAAAACAGGCTGCAAAATATATATTTTTTTCAAATATATAACTCAATAGTTTGTTCACTGATAAATAGTTAATATAACTATAAGGATGAACCAACAAAAACAGCACCTGCTTTAATTATTACTTCATCATTTGAGTTATTAAAAAAAAAAGAAAAAAACACACACACCGGTTATTCTTCCTCAACGAGAGAATTTACTTCTTTTCTTCATCTTATAAAGGGAAAGCAAATAACCCTGAGTGATAGTCTGTTGTTTGACCAAATAAAAAAGCTATTAGTAAACATCTTCTTGGGCTTTTAGAAATGACAATGGACATTTTAAAGTTTTTAAAGTTCAAAAACAAGTACTGTTCTGTCTGTTTATTGTTGAGCTTGTTTGGTACTGTTTTATGAGTATCTATTGTTGAGTTTGTTGAAGGCACGTCTAGGGACGGGCTTTGTAAGTCAGCTTAGGCTATAACTAGCATTAGCGATAGCAATTTCATTTATATAGCACATTTCATTACAGATAAGCTCAATGTGCTTTACACTGAGGTTAAAAACAAAATCAAACACAGCATACAAAAGAAATGTTTCCACAATCATTAATAAGATTCAGAGATCTAATCAATGAAGTCATACACACGACAAAACAAACATCAGTTACCACAAAAGTGATACATACACACACACACATACAAAAAAATAACTATTTATATGCTTTGGAGAACAGATTTTGAGGTTTTGAGTTTTGTTTTAAAAGTAGGTAGTGATGGACCTCAGCTCAGCAGGGAGTGTGTGGCCACTGTTCACTCGCTCCCTACGTGTTGTCACTATACAAATAAACACTCAAAATAAAAGTACAGAAAGTTGAATGTGTATCATCACTTTCCTTGATTTGTCTAAACAACAGCAACAAGTTGTAATGTTTCGTGTCTTATTAAACTGTGAAATTCAGAAGCTGGACCTGTCGCGATTTCTGTTATTTGTGCTTGAAAAACAATTATCCAAAAGGTTGCAGATTGATTTATTTTTCTTGCTCATTAGTTGACTAATGAATTGAGTAATTATCACGGCGCTGAAAACAAACATCCCCCTTAAATGTAGAAAGCAGGCAGAAGATTACTCTTTAAACGTGTTTACAGGAATGCAAGGTTATGAAGTTAATTTAACCCTGCAGCGATAACGATGCCGCCTGCTCACATTCTGCCCTGATTTACATCCAGGTTCCTGCATTTTCAAATTCTGTCGCAGCTTTCTACGTAAAAGCCTCCGAAACTGCTAAAAGTGCTGATTTCACAGAGTGTAAGAGGACAACGCTGCTCACTTTGTCTAACAGTTTAAAACTCAAATGTAATCAGTTCTAATTAGCCAATTATCGTGGATGATGGACTCAGAAAATGTGTTTGGCATCTTCAGACTGTTATCAAACATGCTGCTGATTAATTCATACTAAATAGCTGTGATTACTTGTAATAAGTTTGACTAATTGTTTCAGCTCCTGGCTCTACTTCCTCTGACTGGTAATTATACAAACAGTGTCATTGCAGGTCGGAGAAACTCACTGAATAAATGACAACAACCTTGGAGAGTCAAATCAGTAACAATATAACGGGAAATAACAAAACCAAGTCTCACGCCATTAAAAAAAAAAATAATGCCATGGGCAAAAATAACCATTATTTCTTATCTACCCGAAAACCAATTATCTTTTTAAAATTGTGATAAGGGAGATAACATGGTGCTGTTAAATTCTTTGTGGATAAATTGGGTCATTTTAAAAGATATCATGTAAACGGAATTAAATTTAAAGAAAAAGTCGCCCCACTGGTGTTTAAGCCTCGTGAATATTAATGCTGTTCCTCCTGTATTAAGATGAATTATATGGGTATGGTTGTAGAAAGTAAAGTTTGCAAAGTGGAGGAAAAAAGGCGGATGTGTGTGAATGTGCTTTTTTTTTGCAGGTAGTGGGAGAGTGGCACTTCAGTCTGATCCACTGTGACATCCTGCTCACCCTGGACGTCATGATGTGCACCGCCAGCATCCTCAACCTCTGTGCCATCAGCATCGACAGGTGGATTATCCCTCTGTCTCTTTTACTCGACGTGTTTCTCCTTTCTTGATGCTTCTTCTTGTGGATGTGTCACACACTTGCCTCATCACTCTCTCATTTCTTACACTTTAACTCTCTCTCTCTGAATTTTCTTGAAGGGAGTTGATTATAAATAATTTCACGTTGATTTTTATCCAAAGCCGACATTAAATCAATGCACCATTTCTTTACTTTCTGCATGGCATGATTGATCTTGACTGATGCACCCTGCTTCAACAAAGAGCTGACGCACAAGAGCTGCACAAACACACACAAAAAAAAAGCACATCCACTCAAAACTTTATGGATTGATCCATCACACAGCTGTCAAAGCAGCAGGACAGAAGCTTCACACACTGTCGTCATCTGTTTTTCTTTCAGCAGGTGATGACAGGCCTCCTCTCCATCTTCCACAGTATCCTCTGCAGTCATTAAGTCACTTGTTCTTTATGGATGAAGGAGACCAGGATTTGTCCGTCCACCTCTCGCCCTCTTCATGGGTCCAGGGGGAGGTGACCAGACACAGAGCGGGCAGAACGCCTGCAGCTTTGTCCTCATAACTCAGACAAAGTGACACATCGAGGCTGCGGCAGTTTAAACTTGTGTAATTAGGCGCAGTAAATTTAAGGATAAAGTCTTAATTGGTTTGTCAAAGAATTGTACGACTTTAAATACCCTGCAGCAGGAAAGCTGTCTCGGCTCCATGCCTTTAACGGGTTTAAAATAAAACAGTGACTGCAAGGTCAAAGTGCTGACAACTTTCATTTGGGATACTTAATCCTGATCAGAAGAACGGTGAAGGCGCCAAAAACATTTCAAACACCAACATCCAATTTTAAATGTGAGGACATAATTTGATAAATTAGCATAATCCCTGATAAAGTTATCATCTTTAATGTGTCTGCTGTATAATTACTTGTGATTTCAGGCCATGATAAGGGCTGGGTTGTACAAAATAGAGTTAATTTATAACTAGATTTGGCAACTTTTAAGAGCCCTTTAGTTACTTATTTTCCTTTAAAAAACAAAAACAACAACCTTGCATCAATCAAGAACTCGCACGGCATTGGCTCTTGTCATTGACTTTGCTCACCGAAGGGACGAGACCATTCGCACGTTCAGCCAACCAATCATCAGCCAGACAGACAGACAGAGCTGTGAAATGTCTGTCAGTGTCTGTACTCAATGACCCAAGTGATTCCCAGTCCCGTTGCTTTGCTGTTTTACGGGTCTTTTAAAAAGTCTAGATAAGTTGTATTTCCTCTTTGACCACACCAGAGTTAATAAAATAAAAGTTCTACTTCCTCTTTATTCACCACTTTTCAGACCTTTAGTTCCTACCACGGCAAACGGAGGTGTTTAGATTCATACTGATCAATCAGTCAATCAATCATTATTTACATATATATCGCTCTTGAGATGCTTTACAAAAGCGCATAAGGGATAATATGCATAAAGGATTTCTTCTTTGTATTCCTCTCGTTCCTGTTGTCCACACTGCCTTGCCGCTGAGGTGGAGGTCGGAGCAGGCCGTGCATGAATGAGGATGGTGGTGGATGTGAGATGACGCAGTCCGATGGTTAAAAATAATAATAATTATAATAATAATAATATATAATAATAATATAATAATAATAATAATAATAATAATAATAATAATAATAATAATAATAATAAATAATAATGGTTAATAATAATAATTATTATTATTAATAATAATAATAATAATAATAATAATAATGATGAAGGTGATGAAGGAGTGAGATAATTGAGCTAACCCTTAGGTGTTAAGCTTTATGGTTATCATTACATCTCTGATCAGTAAATTTGCATGTGAGCCTGGATAATAGAAGCACGCTGAAGAAGACTGCTCACACTCACACCTGCGCTCTTAATTTAGAACTGTGATTGGTTTTGACTCAGTGCTCCGCGGGTGTTTTGTCCCCTCAAGGCAGTGAAACTGGATCCGACAGCTTCCGTCTGTTTGAGAGGGCACTGGAAGTTTGTGCTCTGAATTAAGTGCCTGTGTTTTACTTTGAAATATGTGCAAACATGGCAGCGGGATAAAGACAGAGGCTGCATTAACATGTGTGTTGTCTGTGTTGACGTCAGGGATCAAACTCAGGCACTAGAAGTATGAGAGTCATGCTGATGTATGTTCTGTCTGCTTCGTGTTCTCTGTTGCAGGTACACAGCGGTGGCCATGCCGATGCTCTACAACACCAGGTACAGCTCCAGGAGGAGGGTGGCAGTGATGATCGCTGTGGTGTGGTTCTTGTCTTTTGCCATCTCCTGCCCTTTACTGTTTGGACTCAACAACACCGGTAACAGCTGACTCTGATCAATCTCTGAAGTTACTCCCCACTTGCTTGTTTAGGTTTTGTTTGCTAAACCAGGCTGTACATTGTAACACCACTTATCCACCCAAAGTATGAGGAGCTTTTACTCCTAGGAGCTACTTTTAGAGATATTGAAAAGTTTGTCCTTTTGTCTACTGTTGTCCATGTTTCCCTCGAGGTCTGTATAGGGTGGTGCTGCTCTGTGGCTGACACGCTCATGAGATACAATAAAAAAAATTAAATAACGTATATTAAAGGAACGGTTTGTTAATTCCACCGCCAGGGGGCTCTCAATCAAAACAATAACAGAATATGTTGAGGCTGGCGGGGGAATCATGGGAGTGATTCTCTCTGCTACTCTCCCCTACCCTCAATGAAAACAAACTCCCAGTTGACCCTGTAAGATGAAGGGGCTAAAAAGCCCTGGAGAGAAAATATTTTTACCAATCCGAGTATAATTTACATGACGTTTTTATCACAGCAGCGCATACAGCAACAGCACGTCAGCTTTCAGTTGCAGTAGCCATTTCCTTATGTGTAGCGGCCTTTGACGTAACATCTAGTGTGTCCATGGCGACAATAAACATGTTGTGTCTGTTATGGCGATTCTTTCATGGCAGCCGCTATGACAAGACACCTCCAGTTACAAATCTAAAAGTCAAGTTTCTCTGCCTTTGATAACTGTAGGAAATATTTGAGGTCATGTCAGTACTCATCAAAATATATATACCATAGGTTTAGTAAATCTTAAATTAATGTAGATATTTGAGTGTAAAATTCTACATATTGTATCTTTAAAGTGTAAGATAAAGTAGGAAAGATTTTTATATTGTACATCATTTTAATTCCGGCGGTAGATGAGGTGACATGTGATGTGCAATGGCACAGTTCAGCAGCTGTGCAAGTAATTTAAAAAAGCGTTCAGAAAATGAGTTGAAGACTGTTCTGATCCAACAATGTGATGGATTGAGGAAAGAACCTTTCCTCATCTACAGTTTTTGACTTTAGGCTGCGATAATGTATGCCAGAGTACTCTGCCTGTCTGATATATATTCAGCACTACAAGTACCATCTCTTAACTCTATGCACTTTCAAAAACTACTTCTCCCACATCAGGGATCTTCTGGGACGTAAAAATCCCCGTTAATTGAATACTGGTCCCAACGGTGGAAACTCTAAGTACCTCTTTAAGTCCTTTGTTCCTGGGAAGGTTACTGATTTGCAGAAGCAGCTGAGGTGTCTGGTTCTTTAATAAAATATTACCACTTAAAATGTATCGATGTGTCCTCATTAAACAGGATGCGTTAAAATGTTGGTGAAATAGTGGGGGGAAAAAAACATTTCTATTGAATAAAATGTATCTTTTCAGTCCTCTTACTTCTTTTTCCCTCCTTTCTTGTACGAAGAAAAGAGAAAGAAAATGCAATTTTGTTGCCCTAAGCTATAGTCAAAATTTTGTCAAAACCAAGCTGCAACCTCTGGTGTTGAAAAATGATGCCTATGCGGAAGTTCAAAATCCTGCAGTTTGTAGAGCATCTGCTTGAGGCTGCCTCCATGAGCCTCAGAAGGATGTTTTTCATAACACATCATTTTGATTTTATTAATAATATGAGATTGGCATAGTTGCCTGAGGCTGGACTGATTGGCCGGCGGGAAAGGATTTACTGTAGCGGTTTGTCAGGAGGCTAGAAACCAGCCTCAGCTCCAGCTCTTACGTTGACTCAAATTAGGCTGAGACCGGATTTCCAGCTTGGGTTCTGCCTCCAATGAGCCTCCAAAAGCCCCCTGCAGTAACAGATGGCTGAAGTCACTCAGGCTTCGTCCATTTATTTATTTACAGTCTATGGCTAAAACATGTCAATAGTAGAAATAGTTCACGTATTGATTGTTAGGTAATATGTCAATATTTAAACGTAATGATCAAGAGGCAACCCCCAGTGTTAAATAATGAAGCCAGTGCAGAAGTGAAAAAAAAAACTGTAGTTCCTCGGGTGTCCGCTAGAGGCTGGCTCCAAAAGCTGCGTAATTCACATGCTAACCCATTAAAAAAAGCTCATTTTGACAGCAGAAACAAACATGTTTACAGCCTGGTTAAAATTGATTTTATTCTAAATAGTTCATGTGTTTAATGGTACCCAAAGTATGGGGGATGTTTTTTTTTTTGTATTACTCATCCACTTTGATACTCAGTCAGTGCTGCATGGGTGTTGAAGAATATTATTTAAATTGTTGAAAAGAACGTGTCCCTCTGGTGCTTTTCAGTGTGGGGCTCTAACTTAGAAGCTTTTGAAGCGGTCTGAAGCACTCAGAGGGGTATAAATAAAAAGCATGTAATTCATCAGGGCTACAGATTCATACATTGCTATGAATCTGTATCCCTGATGAATTAAAGGCTCTTTATTTATACCACTCTTGAGTGCCTCAGACCAATTCAATGGCTTTATCCATTTAGATTTTATGAAGGATAAGAGTAACACATAATTAGGGGCGTGGCTAATATGACTGCAAGTGGGCGGGTTGTAGCTGTTCGCTAGGAGGCTTAGGGCCCACCTTAACCCCACCTCTTTGCCTGTTACTAGGTTGATCAAAAGTTAGTTTGAGACAACATTTCCAATATGGAAACCATCATCAGTGGGCTTCAAAAGTCTGCTTTAGAATACCAGTGGTGACCTCACTGAGACCACGTCCATGTTTCATACAGTCTATGGAAAAGATTACTTAACTGTTGAAAAGTTCTGTTACATCCAGAGTCCAAACCTTAAATTCTTCATTTATGTATACTGATTAAAGCTGCTACTCAGCCTTTTAAGAGCTTTGGTGATGGTGCTGTAGATGCAAATGTGGGGAAAACTTGTTTTTGCTCGAGTATTTTAATTTAATGACGGCTGCTTGGTCATAAATGGGGTTGAGGGTCTCCTTTGCACATATCGGTCGTAAGGCACAAAAAGCCTCGTCTTTTAAGTTATACTATTTTGGAAAAATGATGATTGGCTAAATTTACTCCACAGCTGTTTTTGTTTTTTCTTTGCAATACTGTTTTTAAGCCTCAGCCTCTCTGATATGTAATTAAAAGAAGGACACACTCAAGTAACTGATGGAGCCAAAAGCAGACTTGTTTATTCAAACACACCAGCTTCAGTCTCCCGCTCCCATCTGTCCCTAAATTAGATTGAGAAGTAAACACATTCTGTACATCTGCTCAGTCGACAAACCTTATGAACCTACCACATTGCACTTAAATATCCATTAGCACAGACCATTGGGTACCATGTTTCCATATGTTGTTGTTCTCATCGAGAGAAGGACAGGTGACGTCTGCACTGCAAACAAGTGGGCACACATAATCCTCGCTCGGGTTGTTGTCTCACAAAAGGAGCAGGAGTGAAGATGCTCTGCTGCTATAACCTCTGACTTAATGAAGCTATGAGGAGGGACTTAAGCTTTGGATGTGCTCATATTGAAATCAAATGAAACCACTTCATAATAAGTAGGGGGGGAAGTAATGTGAGAGTTCAGTTGACATACTGGTGATAAGAGATCAAACCAAGAGAGATTCTGATGGAAATGTACTTTTCACACAGATTGTCACTCCGGTTGTGTGATGATGTTTTTTACCTGGATGCAAATTTCTTTCAGTTCTTTCACTTTAAACATTTAATATGTGAAGAAAACTATCAAACAACCAGATCCAATGACTTGTTGATGCATGTGCAAAAGCTCAAGTTGTTTCCTAACTTCTGAAACAGCGATTGAAAAAACTGCCTTTACTCAGGTCTGTTATTATTCCAGAAAAAGGATAAAAAAAAATTAAAAAAAAGTCTAAGAGAATTTGGAGAAATATCCACATTTTCAAGACCATTTGATGGACAACAGCTTTTTCAGTTTCAAACACCATGAATGCTGTTAAATGGTCTGAGTTGATTGTGGGCAGTGTTCAAGTTCAACCTTGAACTCTGAGCCTGTGTAGGTTCTCAGACTTCCAGGTCATGGTAAATTTAAAGCTTGATTCAAAGTTAAACTGGACTTGGTTGTAGATCTTGAGGACCTTTTGACCTCTCCTCTGAACGACCTCTTCAGTTCTAAACTAACTGTTGGACGGAGCCAGAAATGTAAGAACTATGAGGCTTAAATTTGTGGTTAAGCATGCTAATGATCCATCATTGGGGTCACCCAATGACCCACAGACAGCGTTGTTAACGACTCAAAGGGAAACTAGGTCAATGACTCTCATGTGAGTCATCCTCGATCATTAGCATGCTAATGATCCACAGAGGCTTACATTTCTGGCTCCGTCCACCAGAAAGTTTCGAACGCAAGAAGCCTTTCAGAGGAGAGGTGAGACGTCTTCAAGATCTTCAACCGAGTCCAGTTGCCTTTGGATCAAGCTTCGAACTCAGCATTTATCTTTCTTGTTTAACTTTAGGAAGTACGGTACATGTATTTAGAGTCAGGAATTGAATTAGATGCCACTCTGTATTAGAGGCTACAGACAGGAAAAGGTTAGCTTAGCTCATTATTTTAGCACACAACCTGGAAGCAGGGAGAAACAGCTGGTCTTCCTCTCATACGTTTAAACGGCTGACTGTATATTAACATGGACAGCTCTGTAAGTCATGATATTACATATGATCTTTTTGCATCAAATAACTAATAGCCTACAAACTATATTACTCAGAAAAATTAGAACTTGGACATAAATCAGTGTGATTATAACTAACAATCACAACAGAATCCAGGTTTGACACAGAATGTATTTGATGTGTATTTTGACTTTATAGTTTGACCCATCTGTAAAAATGGCGGACAGTCTGCAGCCAGTCAGCAGGGGGAGCTCTCCATACTTAAGCTGCACTCCCAGGCGGCGGTGTCTCTGTCAATTTGAATAATAATCATGATAATAATAAAACACTTTTTCAAGAGGGATGATGCACAAAACAATTTCTTGGCTTGGAGTATTAAAAAGCAGATATCTTCTACCGTTGGACAGAACCTCTGCTTCTAGCCTTAATGCTATGCTAAGTAAACCTTCCTCTTGCTCTAATATAATAAACAATGTGTGTGCTATTGAACTCAACCTCAACCTTGGAACAGATGGGGAAAATAACATTTACCTAAATCTCAATTAGTTTTACAAACAGATAAATGATGTATTGTAATAGTCTAAAATCCTGTACAATGTAAATGATTTTAATTATTCTCTCTTCTTTTCTGTATTAGCAAATAGGGAAGGCACCACATGCAGCTTTGCAGATCCAGCCTTCGTGGTCTACTCATCCGTGGCCTCCTTCTACGTTCCCTTCATCGTGACTTTGCTGGTGTACGCGCAGATCTGTGTGGTTCTGCGCAAACGAGGCAGACGGACCGCCCCGCGGCGCAGACAGGCCCTGCCTCCCACGCTGAGCGCTCCTGAGGCAGGAGAAGGTCATCGACACAGGAAGGTAGAGTCACAAAATTGGATGGATTGCAGCTGCTCCAAACATTACACATCATTTGCTCCTGCTATCTGTTCTGTCTCAAGGTGTAATTCACAAAGCATATCGTGGGAATGACATCCAGGAGCCAGAAAAGTGTGCTGCTCCGTGCAGTTTCATTGGGTTTGTGTCTGAATGTTGAGAGAAACTATCTTCACCTTTAGTCTTCATTGGGCTGAGCTCTCTGGCAGATGAAGCACGATTCTGTCCACATGAAGACAATGAGCAAAGAGGGCAGAGGAAACCTTTAAAGTTCATTTTGAGACCAGTCGTGAAAAATGTAATATAACTTTCACGGTTTAATTAATCTTTCTCCCTGAATGGAGCAGGTCAAGGGTAAACGGTTGAAAAAAAACAACACTTGAATCCTCGACGTGTGTAACAGCTCCAGGCCGTCTCCACATGTGGATAAAGTGTGAAACCACTGACAGCCCCGGACTGATTTAATTAATGGTTATATTAATAATAGTGTGTCAAAGATATATTTACAGACTTTATTTACAGATCATTTATTTTTAGTCATGCAGAAGCGGTCGTATTTTCCTGATCAGTGTTAACTTTGGACATGAAATCCGTTATAAATACAGATGTAGTAACAGAAGCTTTTTGCAATGAGGACGACTTGCATTGTCAAGGGCCAATTCCTCCCAATATGTACTGTGCAATGGCTCAGTTAGATACCAGCTAACAACACTGGCGGTTGTGGGGGCAGACGGTGACTTTTCCCACACATTTGCACAGATTTAGTGGCCCAGAAGCCATGCAATCCTTTTGTGAATCAGGCCCTCAGTTCTTAATGAATTAATCAACCTTTATTTGTGTAGCAGCAATTCATAATTTTTGTATTGATCTCAAGACACTTTACAAAAAGAGCAGGTAAAAGACCTGAGACTATGCAACATTTAGCAAAGTTACATTGGCAAGGAAAAACTTCATTTTGAAAGGCAGAAAAAAGCTGTCCAAATCATTCTGCAACGTCCTTCTCTTTCAGAATAAGTGTACACAACCAGAGGATGTGAAGTTGTGCACCCTCATCCTGAGACCTGCTACTGCTGGCCCTCAGCGAAAGAAAGTGGTAATTATTTGACTCAGCGCAAAGATACAACAACACAACTCTTTGCATTCACTGTCACTCTCCTGTCTTTCTAATAACAGTCCCCCAGCTCTGCAATTATGCTTTGTTTACTCCAATTGAATTTTCATTTGGATAGCCCCAAATCATAACAATGTTTTTGTTAATGTTTTTTTTCTTCTTGTGCCACTGTGGTGGGCATGGAAAGTGGAATACACTTATTAATGTCTAATTGAGTTTTTCTTTGATTCGTTATTATAATCAAGCATCAACTCCTTTGTTATTTCTGCCATGCCTTACATCATCCTGCCTTCCTCTCTGTGTGTGTCAGACCCTGGTAAAAGAGGCGGTGGTCCATCCCCTCGATGTGGAGCCGGGTCGGTTCCTGCCGCAGACCGAGCAGAGCCTAGCTCCTCCTCCTGTTGCTCCCCAGACTTCCTCCCATGCAGGACGGGCCAGGATCTCCTTGGCCATCTCTGTTGGACCAGCCCCGGTTCTTCCCTCAACAGTGACACGATCCTCTCTGATGCCCCGCCCCCCAACCCTGGAGGACGGCATGAGGGGCCGTGAGGGATGGCGGGAGCGCAGTGGAGGCAGAGATAGGTGGGGGATCACCAAGGAGAGGGTGCGAGGGAGGCTGTCCCAGCAGAAGGAGAGGAAGGCGACGCAGATGTTAGCAATTGTACTCGGTAAGCAGTGGCTATAAGACACTTACATAGTGATGAGCTGTTTAGTCTTTTCACCTACACACACAAAGTACACTCTAGCACTTTGTCACAATTTGTTTGATCACAAAGATGCCACCTTGTGTGTCATATAAACAGACAAGTCTGCATAAATATTTGAGGAGCGCTCACAACGGGGGGCAGTTCAAGTCCGACCTGTAGCTCCTTTCCTGGATGTCTTCACCACTCTCTCTCCCCGATTTCTCTACTCTATGCAGTGTCCTATCAAACAGGCTCAAAACAAGAAAAGTTGTTTCATGTTGACTACAGTTTTCATCAATGACCTTTAGCTGAATGCAGAGAGAAAAAGTAACTGGAAATTGGATTAGATTTTATAAAACAGACCCCTTTTATTCAGGACTTACTCTACTCATTTGTACAGAGAAATACGATCTAGATACAGTAGACTGAAGGTTTTGAATGCACATGTGGAGAAACTAACAGTTAATTTCTGTCTGCAAAAAGGAATTGTTATATACTGACTTCCAAGGTGTATTCTGGTTGGTTTGATTGTATTTTGTTTCTTGCCTACTTCATCTTTTCTGTGATTCATTAGACATGGCTGCTGTGACACAGCTATTGCGATTGATGAAGTCTTCGGCTTTAAATAACATCTCAGCACAAACATGCATAAACTCATCCTATTATCCAGTGTCATGCAATCTTTTTTTTGGCCTGAGGTACCCCCCAGCGCTGTCATGTGAATTCATGTACCCCTTCTCTGGTTTTCACTTTTCAATCTATTCGTCTATTTGTGTTTAAAAAGTGGATACTGTGTCATTTTTCATTAAATTGAAGAGTTAATATGATTTGGACAGCAATCTCACTTCTCCCTGAAGTGAGATTGATGGTGTTGATGTTCCAACCATTTGCGACGCCAGGATTAAATTTCATAGTACGCACAAGAACCATTCCAGTGTGTGTAGGAAACCTTTATCTTCGAGGGTGTCACACACTCATACACCATCGCAGTGAATGAACAAGCAAGATAGAGAGAGAGAAAGCCAGTGCTCTGACGCTACCTATGCAACACCCAAATTTGGATTTACCACAGAAACAGTAGTCGACACCTGGCCTTGAAGACACTCATCTTCGACGTATAGCAGCCTGTTTGAACTTCAGTGCTCGCATGTTTTCTAATTTTTAAACTCATTTTAGTGCAATACCTGTGTCTAGTGTTGAGGCGTAGAAGTTTCTTTTTTGGCTACTCCACAAACTTTTAATGTACCCTAAGGAACCGAGTACCCCTAGTTTGCAGTCACTGCACTCATCCACTTCTCGTCCTTGTTTCCAAGGTGTGTTCATCATCTGCTGGCTGCCTTTCTTCCTCACCCATGTGCTGAAGGCTCACTGCAGGAGCTGCTGTATCTCCCCCTCGCTGTACAGCGCTGTCACCTGGTTGGGATACCTCAACAGCGCCGTGAACCCTGTCATCTACACCACTTTTAACATCGAATTTCGCAAAGCTTTCATCAAGATCCTGCACTGCTGAGAGCTGGAGATGTGGCGAACATTATCAGTCAAGAAATAAAGCCGCTTGACGTTTGAGATGCAGAAGTCGGGCAATAGATTTCATGTCGGATTAGGTAATTGGTACAAGCATCCAAAAAAAAAACTTGAGACAAGAAGAATGAAAGCAGCAACTCCTGCAAGACTGAAGAGGACAGAAACATGGCACACAGAGAGAAGGGAATAAATAAAAACTAGAAAGGAGAGAGGGGCTGACAATTAAAAGACAGCTATAAGAACCAAAAACAAGCTGGAGATGTGTATAGAGAAACCACACACTGAGTTTTGTAAATAGAATCTGAAAAGAGAATATTTGAGGACTGTGGATCTCTCTGCAGCATCCTGACGGAAAGACTGCGCACACTTGGGACTCGTGGAGACGTGACTGTTTTCACAGTGCTGGATTTGTGTCAGAAATGTTATTGTGTTGTCTTTTTTTTTTCTTATAATCTCGACAAAGAGCATATTGTTATGTGTTTGCATGAGCTTGTCTCTCTCAGAGGACTGGAACAAGCCAAGGCAAAGAAGAACAAAGAAAAAAACCTTGACGTTTGAGTGGTGCAAGATAGAGATTCACGCACAACGCAATGAAAACCGAAATTGAAGTTACATCAAGGTAGAATTATTGATGTGGTTGTAAAGTGCAAACAGAATCCAAAGACAGAGTTTTATGTAATGAATTGGTTACATGATGTGATGAAAATGTGTGTTTGAATGTATGATTTGGTGCAGTAAATAATCGTACTGATTAAGAAGAGGGATCACAGTTAATGTTCAACCGTCGATCATAATATTAAAAACAAAAGTATTATGTCATTGCTAATAACTGATCATAATGAAATTAAATGAAAACAGAATTTCCTGAAGCCCCCAATAGTTTGTGCCTTTTGTATATTGAGTCATCAGAAGCAGAATACAATTTTTAAACATGTCGTCAAACCACAAATACACTACAAACGTGCATTATGTAAATGAAATGACCACATTTTGCAAACCCCTTATTATCAGATATTGAATTTGGTTTTACTCACTGTCTGCTGTGGTACAGCAAAGGTAATATTAAGCCCTGTTGGTAATGGCTTTTGGCAGAGTTGGTATTCAGACAGGACTTGCATGTGCATACTGAGGATTTTAGATAAGCCCTATTTCATTCAAATCCTCCAGCCTTCATATCAATCTGGTGCAAAATATCACCATGGGCTTTCCCCTATCCCTGTTTTTATTACCAAGATTAATGTGTGTGTGTGTGTGTGTGTGTTTGCGTGTGTGCGTGCGTGCATGCGTGTGGTTGTCCTGTGAAATATAAATATACATATATTCTTATTCAGTACTTAAATGAACTTGTACATATCCTGGTGCGTATTTGCACAATATTTCCTCAGTTGCCACCAGTGCTTAAGTCACTCTGGTGCTTGAGTCCCTAGAGTTAAATTTGACTCTCAAATTATTGAAATTTGCTTTACTCTGGCAGCTTCCTCGCTTTAATTTAGTTGTCCTGTCAGTATCCCGCTGGTGTACCTCTGCACGATAAAACAGATTCTATGGAGTTTGAAATGCTGCAGCACCATGCAGGCTGCTGGGGAGAAGTCAAATTGGGGGTCCTTCTCTCCTCCCCTGATTGATACCACAGAGAGGAGATTCTGACAGAGGTGTGTATGTGAGGAGTTCAGACTAGCACTAGTGCATTGCCAGTCAGCCTGATTGGAGTAAACAAGGACTCTGACACCAATACGGGAGCAAATGAAGCCTGCGCGCTTTATTTATTCATTCAGTCAGTCAGTGTCATGTGAAGGTGGGGAGGCAGCAACTCCTCGCTCATGTTGTAAACAACCAGCAAGCAATACGCAGACATTTAAAAACTTCAGCATACAAATGTTTGACTGGTTGTTTTACCGATCACTTGTCTGACTTAGTCCCGTATTGCATAAAAAACACTGCAGTGAATTACAAAATCAACCCAGCAGCAACTCAGTGGAGGGTTAACTAAGGCTGAATACATTGTGACTGCAAGAGAACTGAAAACAGTGACACACACACAGATAAATAAAAACTAAAAATGACTTCAGACAGAAAACAAATGCATCTGACGAGAAAATATTTATTCAGCTCCTTATGTTGCCTTTCCATTCATTATTGTAATTTCATGGAATCAGCAATGCAATATCTCAACAACTACTTGATTAAGTGCATTGCAATTTGGTACAAAGTATTCATGGTGTCCAGAGAGGATTAATACTTTTACTTTTGGGATTTGTGACTTCATCCTGGATGGATTGATCTATCTATCTATCTATACATCCATCCATCCATCCATCCATCCATATTTGTGTAACGGCAATTCTTAACAATATTGGTATCTCAAGACGCTTGGCCATCTCTGTTGGACCAGCCCTCTACTCAGGTGATACAGTCGTGTCTCCTTCACCGTCTTTGATCTGTGAAGTGAACTCAGCAGTGTAACGCGCTGGGTAACACCACCAGCGCCTCACACTGTCTGATGAAGTAATGTGATCGGATGAACAAAATACTCTTGGGAAGCTGGACACTGACAAACACAGACCAGTGCTCAAGTATGCCTCCTCTGATTCATAATAGGACGATGATTATTGGATACATATCGTCCAACAATGAGAAATTCAACTCCTTCACTCTGTGTGTGTGTGTGTTTGTCAGTGTGTGCAGCCATTATGCTCCTCAGCCCTTGTGAGCGGGAGCAGTTTAGCGCCGTGGTGTACATTACCCTCTGTTGTTAAACTCTGACCCGAGCTCACAATTATCTCCATGCATATTTCATAGACTCCTGATGACAAGAGTGCACGTATCTGTTACTGACCTGCCTGCTGCAGCCTCACCTGTGTTCTGACCAGAGGAGAAAGATTAAGGCGGAGAGGGAGGAAGATGATGAAGTGGGGGTGACGATATGAAAGGATTATGTGTTAGCCGAGGAGAGCAAGAATAATCTCAAGACAAGACATGACAAACTGCAGAAACCTGGGCTGAGCTGAGGACGATGGATTCACAGTAAGAGAATATCTTTTGGACTGAAGATGCACCAGAGAAAACAAACGGCTTCTATGTCCGCTCAATGATGCTGCAGCTGTGATGTATTTGCAGCCGCTTTAATAAGAGGAAGAGAGACACACTCAGATGGAAAAAACCCTGTGCATACAAATGAGGCTGACATTCTTCAGGTGAGAGAAGTACACCAATGTGATTTGATATGAGCCAATTGGGAAATTTATTGAACAAACCCTGTCTTCAGTCACATATTTCCTTTATGGCATCAACAAATGTGATCAATAGAAATTAATTTAGCTCTACAAAATAACTCATAAATTATTCTTTCTGCCTCATTTACCTCAAGTATATGCCAAGCTGTTTCGGATTAGGGTGATATCGAAGTTATCCTTTTGAAAGTCGTCTGGGAAAATGATCTTAATGCAGTCTTAACTTTTCATGAAGCCGGATTACTATGATCCAATTGCTAGAATAAGTAATGAAGGGTAACGGGTAGAAAAAATGTCTTTAAAAATCCATATCAGATTGATTCTACATTATAAGGGAATATTAGCATTCCATTTCTCCATGGATAAGCTAATTTTAAATCAAGTATTTTTCTTGTTCTTTTGCAGGACTTTCAGGGTATTTGTCAGTTTCTGCATCCCCCCCTCTTCGCAAAAGCATGTCTGAAACCCAGCACACAAGCCAAATCCTTCCTATCAAAACCCAAAATAAGCTGTGAACCTTCAGTCCAGAGAACATGGACCCCGACTTAAACCATGCCATGCATCTCAGGACAGCTACCAACGATTTTACGAGTATGGATCTGCAGCTCCAAACCAGCCCCATTCATTCTGATGCACAGCAGCCAGTCATTGCATCAATCTATCCATCCCTCGAGCCCTGGTCATCAACATCTTTTCAGAGTCCAACCAGTCATGAAGTATTGAGCGTGTCGTCTCTGGTCCCCTCTACAGTCCTCACACTGGTGCCTCATTATAAACCCACTGAAAAAAATAGCTTATATCCAGAGCTTCCATCTTTCTTTGGAGAGAATCCAGAGCCGCAACTTCCAGGAACTTCATCTTCCCCCTCTGGGTTTTCAGAAGCCCAAGATCAAAACACTCTGACCTTACAACTTCCTTTTAGTGATACTCCTCCTGAAGTTCAGCAGAGGAAACCATCAGATGGGAGCCCGCTGGAGGAAGGATCAGTAGGTCTCATGATGCCCAAAGATTTCCCTCATGAAGAGCCAGGTAAGGAAATTATTAAGGCTTTTTTTTTTCAAAGTGGAGTTCTGATTAGGTCCAAAAAGTTTTACATACCTTGGTGTGTTTTTGTTTTTTGCCGTTATTAAAATAAACGGAATCTCAGAGCTCCTGCGAGGAACTTTTAGTTTTTGTCAAGCTTAGAGACCCCTGTAGACAAAGCATAACATCATATCTCTTTGCTGATCTTGTCCAGTTTGTGTGTAAGAAATTATTTTTTCAAAGGCTTATGCGATTTTTAGATCTAAATAAATATTCCCCTTCAGACACACGCCCTTCATCCCTCAGCTCCCTCCTTCCCTGTCTCCACACTTCCCCCCGCCCCTCCTGTCTAGTTTCACTTGATGAAAGCAGTATAGGAGTGCTAATAAACATCTGAAAACAAGACTCTGCATCAATTTAAAGTAACGATATGCAACACAAAGTTTTTTCAGTTGTTGTTTTACTGTAGGACCAAAGAGAATCTTTTCTTCAGTTTGGACATCTGTTCTCCTTCTTACAGTGTCCCTGTGGGGATGAGGACTTCTCTCGTCACCCTCATGGTGACAGGGTTAATGGTTGGACAGAGAGGGGTCCAACCATGAAAACCATGTCCAACCTTCAAAAAAACATATGTATGAGTATGAGCGTCTGAGAGAAACATAAACAGGATGAAAAAAAATGTCATGTCAACACAAAGCTGAGAACATCAAATCCAGAGGGAGTTTGACTTCACTCTTTTTAGAAAGTAAAAAAAAAATGTACTCACATAGGGTATATTTTATTTTCATTTTATTACTATCCAGACTGCCTCATATATACCTTTAAACAAATAATCTCATCATGCTTTCTCTAATAAATCAGATGTATCACTCTTTGAGAATCCTTGCTGCGGAAAATGTTAAAACGTCTGTGTCTGCAGCTCGCTCTTGACTTCTGACAGCTACCCTGCGGTCATAGCTTCAGGCTTAAAAAAAGAACTATTTTCAAGTAATCAGTCTTCTTGCTCATGGTCATGTTTGCTTTTATGGCTCATAAAGAGGAACTCGTAAAAGTTTCAATCAGTTTGATAACCATTTTAAAGGAGCTTTAAAGGAGATGTTTGACCTTTCCTTTTGGGTTCATGACTTTGTGTACATGGAGCCGATCATTACAAAACTAAAAGCTTCAAGGTAAAGGCGACACTGAAACATCACTGGAATATTTTGACATTTGGGGAAATCTGCTAATAATTTTTTTTTTCATTAAAGTTAAGTGAAAATTGATACCACTCACAGCTGTGTGTTCGATATAAGCCTGGATATGAAGCTTAGTATAAAACCTGGAAACAGAATGAAACAGCTGCTGTGGCCAAATCCTCCAGCTTTACCCCTCCATCCAGACTTTGTGCTATATACAGCTATAACGGAATAAGCTCATTTCCAAAAATTGTGAATTATTCACTTTAAGATTTCTCAATATTAAAATTAGAGAGCCTGATGTTCAGGAAAAATAGTTTTTCATAAAATTTTGACAATTTACTGAACTGCACTTTCTTACTGTTGATCACACAATTTTAATTGATCGTCT